TGGCGCTGTCTGTGGGAGCCCTTGCTCACAGGGGTTGTGCTGTGTTGGCGCTGGGTGACACCAGTGAGGGGCAGGGTCCCGCAGCGTGGCTGTGCCTGGGTGTTGAACCGACCCACGGTTGCATGGGGACGTTTGGAGGGATGGGCTCTGCTTGGCTCTCCTGGAGAAACCTGGACTTCTGTGCGATCCTGACTTAACTCCTTGCTGCAGGAACAGAAGGCGCGGTGAGCTCACCGCATGGAGCAGTCGCTTTGGATGCTGACATTTCTGTCTTCCTTACTGCCGAGGGCCACGCTCCTCCTGTTCCCTGGGCGCAGGACCTGGCTCCCGCAGCAGCTGTGGTGTCTCGGTGCTGCCGGTACCGCGGTGCTGCCGCTGGGCTGTGTCAGTTCTGAGTCTGCTCCGCCGAGGGAAGGTTCAAGGGCTTCAACTCAGCACTGCAGAATACAGACAGTGTTTGATAACGCGCTCAAAAGTCGGCTTTTAAAATGAGCCGATGTCGAGTAATGGTTCAAAACACGGGCGCTACAACCTCTATTGTGACTTCCTTCGCACCGGTGTAACGTGATGGACTGACCCGGATTGCACTGAGAGCAGAACAAGGTCCTGGCAGACAAACAGTGACGGTCTGGGGAGCTGAAATACCCATGTGTGCGTGCTGAAGTGAAGTGCTGCTCTGTGGAATACCGCTCTGTGCGTACTGGTCCTCCCCAGGTCTCGTGGCACTTGACAGGGCTGGCAGGACCTGTTTTAGTGTGGCGTTGGGGATCCATGGTGTCTTGTCCTGTGTGTGTTGATCCTCCTGTACAGCTCAGACTCTTCTCAGTCTTTTATCGCCGTGCAGAGACGCGTCCTGCATTTGTCGGTGGGTTTTATTGCTATTTCCCCTTCCTCCCAGGTAGGACGACTCTTCCCTCTCCAACTCTGAATGAGGCCATTCAAAGTGGAATGGCTTTTATTACAAGAGAGAGAGAGAGAGAGAGAGAGTGTCTGCAGCAGATATTGCTAACTGTACATGAATGCATGATTTAATGTAGTTAAATATTCATACGTTGAGTGCCAAGACTTTTCTGCGAGCGCTGTTACGTGATTCAGAGCGAAGGCGAACGCGTGTCCATTCTGCAGGGAGCAGCAGCACTGGAGGCAGAGGTGCGGTGCTGCCGTAACCTCGGCCCTGTCCTGCGCAGTTTGGAGACGTGGGGCTCTTTCTTGCAGAACAAGACGGGTGTGCGTGGTGTGAAACGCTGCTTTTCTCACTGCAGTCCCAGCCCGTTCCTGGGCTCTGTTTTGCCCATGGCCACAGGAGCCTTGGGGGCATTTCCTGGCTGCCCCCGGTGGCCTTGGGCAGGGGCTCGCAGCCGCAGGGGTTTGTCACAGACGTTGGTTGGTGTCTCTGTACGATCAGCGGTGTCTTGGTGGTGAGGAGCTGACGAGGGCGCCGGGGGCGGTTGCTGTCGGTGGTGATGGTGAAGCGGACGCAGGCGGGAGCGTTGTTGGACGCGCGCTGTTCCCTCTGTTATGACCACAGGCCACCAGGAGAGCGTGGTGATGGTGAAGCCCTTCCTGCAGTGAGAAGAGGTCTCTCTGGAGGTTGGTCTTGCCGTTAGTGATGGGTTTAATTTTCGGAGTAACAGCAGGAGCCTTCATTCCTAACCTTGAGACGTGGCTGCCCGTGCCCTGCGCCGATGGGAGGAACCTTGCATGCGATGGGGGTGGCTGCTGTTAACGGCTCAGTTACTGATGGGGCTGTGGGCTCCCTCCGTGCAGGCTGAGGGGCGCAGGGCATGGTGTGAGCAGGGCTGAGATGGGGGCTCCACAGCGGAGACTGCAGGGACATGAATTGTTTGGCTCCTCCAGTTTCCCTCTGGTGTCTCTGCCTCATCGTGACACTGGAGGTGTCTGAGCGGCTGTAGGGGCGGTTTCAGTGAAGTGCAGTGGTGTTTGGGTTAAAATGGACGCAGTCTCATGCTCTGAAAATGAACACGTGCATCAGTCGTGTTGGTGTGGGGGGCACTTGCACACGCAGTGGCCTGACCTGGGCCACAAAGGCCACTGTGTTCTGAGGGTTTTCCCTTACCTGGGCTGCCCATCAGCTCCAAACACCCCTGAGATGGTTCTGGTTGCCACTTTGCTCTCAGTCTGTGCTGCAGGGGAGGGCGCTTGGTTTTGTTTGTGAACGGACAGAGCTGCTGTGGAGCTGGATCCGCAGTGCTGAGGGCTTCAGGCCGTTCTGTGAATGCGTTAGCGCAGAGTAGGGAGAAGGACAAGAGGAGGGGGGACAGTGGTGGTACCTGTGGAGTATTGCGAGTCCCTCGGCTCTCTGTGTCTGACGGGGGTGCAGTGAAGGCCGCTGCGCTACCGTTTCCTTCCCGATGCAGAAACCGTCCTGTGCCCGTGAGCCCAGCCCCGCGCTGGCCCTGTTTGCTCCTCCACCGATCGAACCAGGCGGTGTGGGGCTCCTCTCTCACAGTTACTTCCTCGCTTCCAGTAATGACCAACGATGCTCATCTCAAGCGGATGCTTTCATCCCCTGTAAATTCGTGCCTTGTCCCCTCCCCTCCCCTTCCTTAGCGAAAAGGACCGCTCGCGTTTGCGCCCGCAGCAGCCCCGAGCTGTCCCGTTGCCGCTGACCGTGACCCGCGTTTGGCTTCGCAGGCCGATGGAGACGTCTCGCCCCTCCTCGCCATGCCCCGGCTCTGCCCCTCGCCCAGCGGTGCCGAGGCTCCGAGCGCTGCACGGCTCGGGTCCGCGGTGCCGTGAGCAGGGCCCCGAGCTGAGGCATCGTCTGCGCCGTGGCCTTGGAGCCGCAGCTCTGCCAGCTCAGGGGGGCTGGGCCCCTGCCTCGGGCTGGGCTTGGCTGCGGTGGGCACAGCTCCCCCATCACCCATCCCCTGCTGCAGTCACTTCATAGCCCAGGCTTCAGGACATAGGAACGGCGTGGGGCGAGGCTGGAGGCACCAGGGGTGCGAAGCAGCCCCGGCCCCGTCACTGCATGCGCCCCTGCACCGGCGTTAGGGAGCATCAGGACTAAAGCAGGTGCCGATGTGAAGCCAACTCGGCGAGGACGCTGCCCCCCGCGCTGTGGTTATCCCAGTCGCGGTTCTGAACGTTTACCTCGGTGTAAATATCCTGACCTTTCCGGCGGGAGAAGGGAACATTGCATGGAGCAATTGCTGTCCCCATCGCTTTGCCAAACCCGCCGAGACGGGCTTCACATCGGCACCACCGCGGGCCCTCTGCGGGCCCTTTCCTTCCTAGGATGTGACTGGTAAAAATGTGAATATTTGTTGTTTACTTCATTAGGCATAACTCATCATGCTGTGTTTATATGAAGAATATCACAGACTGAAGCAAAACCGTATGCAATTGGTTTACTTTATTATAAACTGTATATGATGTACAAACTAATAAAAACTGAAACGACAGCCGTCTCCCTGGTGTTCTTGAACGGGCAAACGAACGCCATCTCCCAGCCGTGCGTTGGGGTGCTGGGGGTGAGCAGCGCTGGGGCCGCGCTCCGGGAGCCGCGCGAGCTTTCCCTTGGGAAAGGCCAGGGCTGAGCATGGGGCATTGGCCCCTCTGCCCGTGCGGAAGCGAGCAGGGGTTTCCCTGGAGGATGACGGGTGCTATGGAGCGCGTGTGTGTAACTTTACGTTACTGCTGTCTCTGGAACAGCAGCCAGGGCTGAGCTTCACTGGTAAAGGTGCAGCCTTGGCCAGAGCAGCCCCAGGCTCCTTGCTTTCCTCCTGGCGCAGGCAGAGTTGGGCTCCCGGGCAGCGATTTCAGCGCGTGCCCACACCACGGCTCCTTCCCGGCTGCGAGCCCAGCACACGCGTGTCTCAGCAGTGAGTATTTACATGTTAGTGAATGGGGGGTTACTGTCCCTGCAGCGCGAGTTTAGACGTGTCCTGACCCCGACCCGTTAGGTGAGCTTTGTTACAGCAGAGTAGTGACCTTGTGCTATGGTCTGGCTGTGAGCAAAAACATAAGTGTCAATAAAAGACCTTGTAACAGAAGAGCCGGAGCGTTACGGTGCTTCCCAACCAGTGGTTTAGGGTTGAGCAGACGTCGGTTACGGTACCTACGCTACAGTGTTACTGCCTTCCTAACCTGAACATTCAAGTGCATTAGAGAAAAGTAGTTAAAATCTTGCATGAAGTAGCTCTGTACTTCAGACAGGATTTTAGTTCATGTGAAAGAAGACGGAGGAGACAGCGCTTCGTCTCATCCCTCCCTGCCAAGGCCGGGCCGTTCCCTGCAGGCCGAGGCTGTGGGACAGCGCCTGGTGCGTCCCGCTCTGACGCGAAGTGAAGGGGCTGGAGCTGTGCGGCGGCACACAACGCGTCCCTGGGTATTTCACTGCTTTCCCTTTGTCACTTTTATTTTTTGAGTCCATGGCAGCGCTTCAGGACATCAGCAGGCACCTCCTGCCCGCTCAGCAGTGTCCCCTGCAGTGGAGGAGGCTTCGTTCACTGCAAACAGCCCTGAGCTGGAGCAGAGCATGGCCCCGGGGCTGAGCCATCACCACGAATGGGGCACAACCAGGGCCTGGTGTCCCCCTCGGCCACCAGGAGGGACCGGTGCAGCCCAGGGTGGAGCAGATGTCCCCCAGGTCACGTCACTTCACTTCACTTGGCATCAGACCCGGCCCAGGCCGTGCTCTGCCACCGCTTACGGCGCTGACGCAGATCTAACGATTGTGGTTCATGGGTGGCTGTAAGGGACCACAAGCTTCCTCCGAGGAAGAAAACAAGCAGAGCAGCAGGGCTGGGGCTCCAGAATCCCTTGAACGCCCCCGTAGCCGCTGTCTGCTGGGGCAGCTCCCTGGGGCAGCAGCTGCTTGTTTTCTTCCTGGTTGCGAGGCCGATGAACTCCCCAGAGGCTTCACCCAGGGGCTGGCAAAGGGCTTGCTTTAGTATCGGTAAAATTATTTTACACTTTTAAAGGTTACGGGAGTTACTTGCCTTTTAAAAACGAACACAACCAGCCCTGCCCACGGCCTAAATGATGGTGCAGGAACTAAAAGCAGAGCCCCGTTTGTTGGTGCTCTGCGTGGGCACGAGTTTCCCTTTGCCGTAGTAACCCGAGAATATTGCCTTCACATCGATCTTTTTGGACAGGACGAGCATCCACATACCGTTCTCGAAATACAGCAGCTTCCCTCCTCCAATCTCCCCCACCTGCTCCCCTTTGCTCCCCGCCTTTTCCAGCTTCACGAACTCCAGCAGATCCAGCCCGGTCTGCACAGCCTCGACGCCGCTGGCGCAGCCCAGGGTGACGTGGGCCCGGCTGCCGCGGGGGAGGCTGTCGCTGGGCAGGGCCTTGTCGGGGTCCGTGGGCCACAGCAGCAGCTGCTGCTCGCTCAGCTCCACACGAGCACCAACAGTTTTTGTTGTGATGAAGAGCGCGGAGATGGCCAAGGTGAAGCCTTTGCCGTAGGAAGCCTTCACAGCCTGGGGAGAGACAAATCCAGATCAGTTCGGGTCTGGGAGTCGCTGCCGACCGCTGGGGTTTACAGCGACAACGGCTTTAGTGTCCCCAGCCCGGGGCCTGCCTGATCCTGGTGGTTGGGGTATATTTGAAACACAGGGTACTGCTAGGAAACCGTTCCTGCTCCACGAGTTCAGAGCTGGTTATGTCCTTTTCCTTCAGAAATTCCTGTATTTAACTTAGCCATTTTGAAGTAATTTATCTGGAAGTGTAAATAACCCCGATTCCTCCTCACTCAGATGGAGCCATTGGTCATGGGTAGGGGTGCGAGGGTTTTGTTTGGGAACAGGGAACAGCCACCACCTCCCTCAGTGCTGGTTTTGCTGATGCATGGGCCCCGTGGAGGCACCGAGCCCCAACCTGTCCCGACCCTGGCCCACCCCAGAGGCTTGGGGACCCCAAAGGGCTGGGGGGGAGCCCCATAGTCACCTCTTGCTGTGCGTACTCCTCGGCTCCGGCTGCTTTTCCGAAGTCCGTGTACTTTGTGGTGCAGTGCAAGACCCCGGGTGGCCTCTTCACGAAGTAGCTGGTGAGATCGATCTTTATTTTGGGATCGTCAATAGCGGAAGCAACTGCAAACACAGATAAACAGCACTGCTGTCAAAAACGGATCCCCCTGACGTCACCCCATGGGCGTAAGCCCCATCTCAGCCTTTGTCACCAGCCTGTCCTTGCTGTTCATGTCACACTGCTGAAAAGGGCTGGATGGGTGAATGAGCCCCCTCTTCCGCCCTGGCAAACCACGGGTGTAACCAGGAAGCAGAAGCTTCTGCAGTCGCTGTGGTTTGCCTTAACCTTGGAGATGAACGAGTTTTCCCATCATTTTTCCCTTTTCCCTTTGAGGTGACAGAACCAGGGGGTACCCGGTCCCCTGAGGCATCGCTGCTGCCCCTGAGCCCAGCTCCCCGCAGCGTCAGAGCTGAACAGGCTGCTTGGGCAAAGCTGCTTCATTTATTCTTACAACAGCAACTTTGTCAACTACGGGGAACAGATTCGTAGCTTTAAACAGTTTTTCTGGTTGCTAACTTGAACTAAAATGCCCTTTAGAAGCTGCCCAAACTCCTTCCATTTACTTAATGTGACTATTTCATCAACAGAGGAAGTGTTTGGTAGGGTACGTACAGAATTTACTCTCCTTTTTGAAGGCTTTGAGACTCGCGAGCTCGTCCAGGAAGGCCTGGCCAGCCTTCCTCAGGATCTCCGAGCTTCTCTTGCTCAGAAACCACCCAAAATACATGGGCAGGAATTCCTTCTCCAAGCTCGGCTTCATCTTCTTCAGCTCATCCGCCGACAGCTTCCACTGGTTCTTGTCCTTCAGCTGCGCGCAATCCACCCGCCACGGCGTTTTGGGCTCGGCGAAGATCACTTTGTACCGGTATTTGTCTGCAATGTCAAAAAGCTGCTCCAGCCGTTCCCTCTCGTGGTGAGTGTCATCCAAAACGATAACGCTGATATCCCGTTTGCAATAGTCAACTAAATCCTCATCCACCTTGGAGTACTCTTCGGGAATGGTGCTTCTAATGGACGGTGTGATTTTGTAGTTATCGACGGAGATGACCTTGCAGGCATCTTTATAGCGATCTTGGATGGCCTGAGCCAGCGTGGACTTCCCGCTGCCAGGGAGGCCTCGTAAAATGAAGAAGGTTTTAGATTCCTTCACCGTGGCGATGGTGTCGTCATCGTCAAGGAAAGGGAAATGCAAGCTCTCGGGTCTCTCTTTCGCTGACTGAGTAGACATTTTTCTAAATATTTTAGGCAGGAACGTGTGACTCTTCTTGGAGAAGCCTCTGTTCTGAAATGCAAGGAGAAAAATCTTTGGCAGGGCAGCGACCCAGGGGACCGCACATCCCGGCTGCAGGAGCACGTGGAGGGGACGCAGGGATCTCCTCCGCCCCCACAGTCCCAACCCCAGCCGCCCCAGTGGCTCCAGCCCCACTCAGCTGCCCCGGTCCCCCGCAGTGACCTGCGTCCATCCCCCCC